GAGGCACACAAGCTACTGCTTGCTAAGAAAAGCATGTGCTAACACTGGTATCTTCTCACATACAATATAGTCCACAGACAACTCTAGATTATGTGGGAGACAAGTCTGACCCATTCCTCCCCTAATTCAGAATGAGGTTTTGGGAACTCATGAGAGCGCCATCGCGTAATATTCTCTCCTTCCCTTTGCAATAATCATCACACCAAGTCAGTTATCAGGCCAACCGCTACACCAAGCAGTTGCTCAGTAAGGTACAGGACATGCCTAAATTCTTGTGCCCATAGCCTCCCACAGTTCCCCACGACAATGCAGATTCACTCTGCAAGAGACAGAAGCCAAGATCCCTCCTCCTGTGCCAGGGCAGCAGCTCTTAAAGAAGGGGAGGATACAAAACAAAAAAAAGTTTCTGATTCAAGTGGAAGTACCACCATCATTCACCTTGGAAAAAAAACTTCTGGGAAGTTATTTCCAAGAACCTGTATATCTCAGTGCCAGGTTCGTTGCTGGCAATAGTTGTAGTGTGAACCATTTACAAGAGGATCACAGAAACAGAAGAGGCTGGTGCTGCCATCTGCTTCAGGTGAACAGCACTTAGAATACATGAAGATGATTATAAATTCCTCTTTATAGGACAGTTTCTACAAAATGGATCATTTTGGCATAAAGACAAAAAAAAAAGCAGTAAAATTGATGCAAAGCTGTCTGACACATGGGAATCCCTCTCATTCCTCCCAAGTGTTAAATGCAGTCCAGAGCATGGCTAGTCTAAAGAGATGCTGTGTTTCCCTCAGCATCACCACTCAACCAGACTGGCTCTTCAACTGTTGGTCCCATGGCTACTGTTCCAACTTGAGCTCTCTAATCACTCTTAGCAGAGCTTGCTTTCTTCTGTAGTGCTCTGAGACATACAGAGGCTTCCCTCAGCTATTCTGGAAAACAAGAGGGACCTATAAACAGAATTACTCAAAATTATGTCCCTCCATGTTTTAGTGTTCTAGATCAAAGCATCTTAAGCATCTCAGACAGTTAAGATTTACTCTTACATGTTGTGCAAAACACTGATGTAGTGCTCTGTCTACAAAAGAGACAAAATATCAACAGCCCCCTTCAACAGTGCAGCTCATCATTTAGCCTTTATCTACTGGCAGCCTGCTAGCCTTCAAGGAGGCAATCTGGTTGATCCAGAGAATTTGGACCCAATGCTACTTGTTGGAATTGAAACAGAAGCATTAGTGATGGCTGAACAACACACGTCCAGAGGGGGGTTAGATTTCCCTGTTTCCTACTCACTCCTTGCCTTGCCACTGCAGTTATCTTCCAGGCCAGTAACAGGCCTTCAGCACATTTGTTCACTTGCCTCAGCTCCTGGAAAAGGCTTCACATCCTTCTGCTTAGTGGAGTTTCATTTGGCATCTAGAATCCAGAACTACTCCCACTCTACCTTCCACCTGCACCAGCAAACCCTGCTGTCTCTGCCTCTACTCTCCTGCTAAACAAAAGTGCAACCACAGCAAGGCTTTCTGGATTCCATAGCAGCCGCATGCTCCAGCCATGACTACTGTAACTTGATGATCACATGCACCCTGGAGCAAGTACGTGTGCAAGTCTTCGAAAGAGGATCCATACTCCTCTAAAGAGAAACACAGCAGCATGTGCCTCAGGGAAATGCACAAACAGGGGAGAGAGAGAATTGCCACTCCCTCCAAGAGCTATCCTCAATCTTTTCAAGTAAGAATCCTACCTATGTCCCAAAGTTTGTCACCCACCAACTCTGGTCCTTTCTAAAAATCTGCAAGCTGGACAGGACCAAGGAATTCTTACAACGTCATTCAACACACTGGCACAAAATGCAATAAACAAGGCTTGTTTGCTACCAGCAGCAAGAAAAGAACTAGAGGGTGGCACGAGAGTAAGATTTTGAATCCAGCCAAAGTCTGATGTTTAAATGCCACAATTACTCAGTGTGCTTTTGGTATTTGCTGCATAGAGAAGTTGCTCACTTGATGTCATATACTCTACTCAACAAAACGTAGTTTCTCTCTGCAAATTGAGCCTTATACGCGCGCATGCGCTTGTGGTGCGGGGGGGATGTGTAGATGTGTGTGGAAAAAAAATAAAAACAAAATAAAATAAAAAAGAACAATTACAGTCAGGCACTTCCCCAGGCTCAGCAGCTATTGCTCCAAGAGCTTCCATCATTTGTAGTCCATGAACAAAATACAGCAACACATAGCAAACTATGTATAGAACATCAATAATTTAAAAAAAAAAAAATCACAGTCTCCATACCTTTTATAATTGATAAGAAAAAAATAACTCAGAACTAGAACATATAAAGAATGGAAAAGTGATGGCTTTTTTGTTTGTTTGTTTTGCCTTTTTCTTTTTTTGCACAATAGTTGGAGAGCAATCGCTCCTCCCCAACATTTCATCACAGTGAACCATGGAGCATGTCCTGGGGAAGGGAAGGGAAAGAAGGGGTGCAGGGCGGAAAGCAAGCAGGATTAGCAAATTACACCAGAGGCACCCTATAGCACAAGGCAAAGGGACCAGTAGCATTCTGCACTCCCACAGTCCAGTGAATTCACAATCTCGGCTGGAAAGTTGTTTTTTTTTTCTATATATACCATGGGAATGAAAAGAAGAAAAAAAAAGTGGCTAAGCAACAAAGGAAAGCTCAAGATGAGACTGCCTTAGCTGTTTGGCAAAAATTAAGAAGTAAGCAAGGTGCTGAAGAAATGAGGCGTATCCCCGTTAACTGTGAAATAAAAGCAATTTGTTAAAAATATGAAATCAACTACTCTGTGGACAGAGACATGAGACTCCAGGATAACACTGAGCACTTGCCACTCCACAGATCAGACAATTTGCAATCATTACATCATCAAAAATTAAAACTTTTTTTCCCGTCATATTTAAAATTTCTTTTTTTGTCTTTTCTTCACAATAAAGCCTCTCAAGGGGCCAAGAGCAGAGCAGGTCAAACCAGGTTGTACTCCTTCAGGTTGAGCTGTAGGATGGTGTCCTTGACAGCTGCAAAGACGAAACGGATGTTTTCTGTGTCTGTGGCACATGTGAAGTGAGAATAGATGATTTTATCGCTGTCTGGATTTAAATCCACAAACATCTTGAGAATGAACTCACGGGCTGCCTGTGCATCCCTCTGTGGGCCTGCAGCAAAGAAAGAAACCAGTTAATGGATTTATGCTAAGTGCATCCCCCGGTTTGATCCATCAGAGTAATTGCTAGCGCACTTTTTCTTATGGGTTACAGAGCTATAAAGAAGAAATTAAGATCATTTATTGCATAAAAAGTCCCAGGAGCTGAACTGTCTTACGCTTTTCAGTTATCTAACCAAACCTACAAAAGGCATTTTTCCAAGGCTGAGAGTTCTGACAGACACCAAGGCGTCATTTCAGACCATGCTTTGAAATACAGCATTTGGTATAACCCTCTATGTGCTGCATTCACTAGATAACAGTGACAGATGCTGGATACACATAACACAATGCTCTCCTCTGGAGATGGGATGTATATTTCTTCCTAATATAGAGATGGATCTTACGCACTGAAGGACACAAGCCTGTGTTTTGTAAACAAGGATCATCTTCAGCCAACACTGCAGTCTGTCCTAACTGGCCGGTCAATTCACAGGAGCTAAAAACTGGAATTTTTGCCAGTATTTACTTCATATTGCTGACAACTCCTCAGAGAAAAGTCACCTACTGATATTTGTTTCACAGTACTGGTGGTGTCACATTCTCCGTGGCAAGGACCATCTCTTGAGAGGTGGTCTGCTGGGCTACCTCCCACTCACAAGCCATGCAGCATCCCTGGAGGAGCTACAGCAAATACATGAAAAAAACCGAGACACTTCCTGATGTTGTGATCTTGACTCCAGCTGTTAAGTTATACTAGAAGTACACACTATTTGACCGATAAGCACACCAGCCATTCCCAGCCTGCTGTAAAAACATGATGTTTTCCACCACTGACAATTTCAGAATGCCTGTGCTTTCAGACAGCAGGGGGCATGAAACTCCAGAAGTGGGAGGACAACTAATAAGGAGCAATTTCAATAGTCGTTTAAAAGAAGAAAACTGTTTGCAAAATGGCAATTCTTCCTCTACCTTGTATTTTTAAAGCACATAATGACAGAGTTAATACATGAGAGCATGGCAAGTGTGTTGCCTGATCTCATTCTCCACTACTTTTATTTATTTTCAGTCCTGTACAGATGTGTTGCCAGACAACTTTAAATGCACTCAACTGAAGAGCTTGAAATGCTACTTTGGCTAAGGAATTTTGTTTCAGATGGGAATTTCTCTGTTTCACATAGGTATTATTTTTCCACAACTACAGATGGCACACTAATAAGAATTTCATGCTACCTGAGATTTTTCAGCACCATCATTTGAACAACTTGGGTATTTGACCAGTCAGTTTCTCAAAACAAGGACTCAAGTCACTCCTTGACTACAGTGTATACCAGCGATTGTCACGTTTATGAAATGTGTTATATGCACAAGCATATAGGTAGGAAAGTTAGACTTCCACTATTTAGTACTCTGAAGTGCATATTGGGGGGGGGGGGGGGGGGGGGGGTGGGCATTTTGGGGGGGGGGGGGAAGTAATTCTTCATCTAGGAGAGGTTCATTATTTGATCATTCAATCAGATTCCAGTTATCTACTGGAATGTCTTAATACGATTAAGACATTTTTGTGACATTTCCTCATTGCTGTAGATATTCCTTCTCGAATTAAGATGTTTTCCCTATCTGTAGATCTGGGTTTTCTTTAAAAACCAAAAAAATTCTAACCAAACCACCTCTACCCCTTCTTCTAGATATAGAGTGTTCCTCCTTAAAAACCACTCACCATCAAACTCTGGGAAATAGTCAACAAGGTGGGAATATAGGATCTTGTCTTCCAACAGATCTTTCTTGTTGAGAAAGAGGATAACAGAAGAGTTTTGGAACCATGGATAAGTGATAATGGTTCGAAAGAGAGCTTTACTCTCTTCCATCCGATTCTGAAATAAGAAAAAGAAAGCTTTGTTTTCACAAATGAGCATGAAGATGCCTTTCTGCTACCTGCACACATACTCAGATCTGTATCGATCCAGCATCTCAGAAACTGTACACAGAATACTTTGGCCCCAGGTAGGTTCTGGCTCAAGCTGTGCCGGTAAATAGAAAGGAAATGCAAAATCTGATGGACTCAAGCTTCATTTAATTGGCAAGCCCTTCATATCAGAAGGTTTAGAAGTCATTTTATGCTTTGACAGTCATGTGAGAGGACTGGCCATGATACTTTGTGAACATGTTTTGTCTAGTAGAAAAGGAGTAACTGCTGTTACCTGATGGCATTTTTTTAATCTATTAGCAAGTGCAAAAATTCAGTATTGCACCTTCAAAGAGACCAGTCACTATCTAACAAGGCAGCAGTCACAGCACGAAGGAATTCAGGGTGGAAAAGAGGAACGGGTGATTTTTAAGAGCATGCCGTCACATTGCACAGTACCTTCCAAGGCACACAGAACCCAGCAATTTCAGAGTATTTCAGTATTACTTGAGAAGTACAGATGATTTGAATGCACTGTGCATTTTCCATTCTTAGGGACATCATGACCCACTGAGGCTCATGTTCCCTTTGCAATAGGAAGAACTGAAGGCCGAAACCAACAATACTTGCTAATCCAACTTGGCACCAAGCACTTTGGTACCAACCTCCAAGAAGTTAGAAAGACATTGCTCCTTTCCTTCCACTTTCCTACAGAGTTCCCATTCTTTGGCTTACCTCGTTATCAGATTCCACCAGAACTTGGTCATATTCACTAAGTGCTACTAAAAACATGATAGAAGTCACATTTTCAAAGCAATGAATCCACTTCCTTCGTTCTGATCTTTGACCGCCAACATCCACCATTCTAAGGAAGAGAAATACATATAGTATCACAGAAGTAGCTGCAGTTCTCTGTCTGAATGCAAAGGACCAACATACGATGAGAATGAATGCGGCTCTTTACCATTCAAGTTACCTGGCATGGGGATGTAATAACATGTGCTTGCTAACAAACCCATCAAGTTTACAAAATATCCTGTTCCAGAAATATATCAAACTGAAAAGATGGCCATAGGTGAGTGATACCAAATTCAAATCCCAAATATCAGCATTACCATTTTTAGTTGCATTCTGCTCTGGTTTGCTAAGTACCAGTCCTGAGTCTGAAAAGAGAAGTCCTTCAAAACTCTGCTCTGTCAAATGAACAAACTATTTCTACTTTTTATTAAAGCACCTACTTGCCTCAAAACATCTCTCGCACAAAGAGCTTTCTTTAGTTATTAAACTTTTAATAAAATGTGCTGTTTAACAGTTACGCACTTCAGCTCCTCAGTTTTAAGTCCCACCTGTATAATATGCTAAAATTATTTTGTCACTCACCTAAAGTGCAACACACCCAGTCCACCTTTGCTAAAACCCTATACCTATTTCATAGGTCAGCAAACCAGAACAGCTAGAGTAACTTTCTGTATGTCTGTAACTGAATGGTTTAAGAGAGAAGATGCAGGCTTCTTTATTCCTCTCTTGTAATGTCAACACTGCGGTAGAGAAAGGCAGGGAGCATGTAAGTACGAGAGAGCTAGGGAGAAAATTGCTTTGCAATAGACAGGCATGTCATTGTGCCCTTTATGCCATGCTCGATTTCTGGCTTAAGCCTCCAAATACCATCTATTGCTGCAGCAGCAAGTTTTGGTGTCATCCTGAGAGCACAAGGTAGGCACAGAAAACCATCTCTGAAGGCAGATGCTAGGTATCACATATGAGGAAGTATTTCTGCACAAAAAGTGGTCTCTTTTTGAAGGAGAAATAAATGGTCAAAGTTGCTTCAGCTAAGCATTCTTAAAGGGAAATACATTTCAAATCAAGCACTGCCCAGAGCAAGCTTCCCCCTCCTCCCCTTGGTGGCTTAAGCTACCAAAAGTTCACTCAGCTGCCTCAGATGCCAGCAATGCAATCCTTCCCAGGAAGGACACCAATTCCTGCAAGATGGTTAGCTGGGCTTTAAGTGTCACTGATTCAAAAGCATGTGACAGCCAATGCTTCAGCTTGGAGTTTTCCCTTAATCAGAATAAAATGTTACACCATCCCCATTACAGGAGCACCTGTCAGCAGATACTTCATAACACACAGCACATACATCCACTCAAGCCTCTCAACTAAGCACCTGGACACTCTAAAGCAATCCAGAACTCATGCTTCCTGAAACCATATCACTCCTCTCTCAGTTCAGCTGTAACATGAATACACCTTCAGTACCTGAAGATAATATTCTCTAGGTCAAAGGGGTACTCTATGATACCGGTTGTAGGAACTCTAACCCGTAGCACATCTTGCTGAGTTGGTAGATATCCTGGGGTAGCAATACGATCCACGTCGCTAAGGTAGCTACAAGAAGCACAGTGGAAAAAAAACTGCATCAGTTTGCAGCACATAAATATACAGATTTAAAC